CAACAGAGATTTGTTTTCACATTAATATTATAATTATTAAAATTAATGGTTATAACAATAGTTTTAACAGGTATTTTCCTCAAGCCTAAATTATTAGGTTCATTCTATAACTTTAAAAAATCAATTTCAAAAAAAGACTTGCTTATTCATAAAAGACCATAAGTAGCTGGGCTAGCAAAGCAAATTCGTACAACAAAAAACTACATATACAAATGAAAGTTATTCTGATTTTTTTAAAAAGCAACAACAACAAAAATATCCCATAATCATAAAAGAAGCAATTGCCGTAACCATAGTAAACAATTTTGAACCACATGTGTTTATGCAGAAATTGGTTTTGTTAAACATCTTATTGAACATTAACAAAGAAAAATCATACCAATGAAAACTGATACACAGTGATGAATTTTATAAGGAAAAAACAAAGCTAATACTCTTTTCTGAGATTAGGCAGCTAATAAGTATTCAAATTAGACATAAATTTTACATGCACAATGTTTAAAATATTCAGAGAAAAGGTCTTGATTCCCTTTACTAGTTATATGAAAATTATAATTTGGGTCCTCTCCAACTGTAGAAACAGATAGACATAACTTCTAAATATTGCATTTAAATTTTACTTTTGATAATACAGCTGGTATGTGTATGTTTTTCCTTCATCATCCGATTTTATTTGAAATACTTATCTCTGGGTGGAGTTTGCAACACAAAAAAATTTTTTAAAAAATTGAAACTATTTTCAAATGTAGCAGACAGGTGCAAGCATTTAATAGTAACCTTTGGGTAGTTACTGTCAGTACCAATTGGATGAATTAAAGAATTCTGTATTATAACCAAGGCCATCAAACAATTAAGAATAATCAGCAAGCAGAGAGTCATGGGTTTAAATCTTTATTATAATTATGAAGACAGATCTACATAACTTCCAAATCCTATTAACCAGAGGATTTTATTGTTCCTCGTGGAATTTTTGACTTTATAAAACTCTAGAGTATAAATTGTGATTTACATTTTAAGTTCAATCATCTAACAGTTACTAAAATCAGGCTTAAGAAAAACAATAACAGTTTTAGAACTTTTTATTTATAAAACAGAAGCATTAGACTCAACATTAATATGCCAAATGCAAGAAAATGGTATAATAACTTTATTTCATCCAAAGCTTGGAGTATGTCCACTATAAAGGAGATGTAGCCTCAAAGATAATGAAAATGCTTCTCAGCATTTACTAAGTTTTTACTACTGACACCTGCACATCTATTTTCCTCTAGAGGAAATATTTCTAGCACAATCCGAGGTGCTGTTTACCTTTAAAAGTACAGATTCAGCATATTCTTTCTAAATGAATGGGCTTGTAGTCCCAAACATATCAAACTAAATTATTCATTCTTCTCAATCCTACCACAAACATTTTACAAAAATCTGTGAAGATAAATCCCAGGTCATTAAAGGGAAAGGTGAAATTGGGAGTCATCGTTTTAATGTTTGTCTGAACTGTGAGCTAAATCTTTCATCATCCACCTCTTTTCAGCTACATCAGAACATAACTCTTCATATCTTGCACTCAGATGATACTGTTCTACTTTTCTTTCCAGCAGCAACTTTTCCTTCCTTTCCTTTTTCCTTCTTCCCTTTCTTCTTTTTTAAAAGCGAGTCACTGTACAGATACTTATTCTCTACACCACTTCCCTTTTGAAACATTAAACTGACACTGGAACTGACTGCACAAGATTGCATTTTCTCTTCCTAAACAACTTGAATTGAAAGGTTACTTAGTGTAACAATATTTACTTGCAGAATTGTGTTGTTACCAAGGGTATAATGGATGGTGGCTATGCAGGTTTACGCAAGAATGAGTGAAGCATGAGGCATTAGCCATGTGTTTGACATGTTTCAAATTGCTATAATCCAGCATTAAACACACCCAGCAATTCATGCCATTTCTTGCAGCCATAATCTTGAATAAAGCGTGCACAACCACTTATTATATAAATTAGTATATGACTCCCTGTTATAGTCACAACAGTGCTTTTGTGTTTATTTTGCATCAAGATGTAGCCTTTTATTTGTACAAATAGCAGGATATAAAGACATAGCTCAATTAGACCTCCTTACTTTATGATAGGGTAGTCCTGAATGCTAGACTTGTTGGTTTTATATTTCCTCTTAGAGTTATGGGTTCCATTGGTATAAAACTGTACCATGTGAGACAGACATTTGCCAGGCAATAACAGAAACCTGTGTATATCCTATTCCATATTCACTACAATGTTCACAAATGAGAAACCTGACCTGTTAACTATGTTATCTCAACCACCACCAGGGACACTATTGGTCCTTGTTGCGTACTCAACTTTTCCCTCTCTACTTCTCTTTCATCTTTTTCTCTGCCTCTCTCATTTTTCCTACAGCTCTTCCTGCCTTCTTCTTTTGCACCACTGACCCCCATGTGTATGTATGCATATGTATGTATATGGATAGATAGATGATAGATAGATAGATAGATAGATAGATAGATAGATAGATAAGTAGATGATAGATAGATAGATAGATAGATAGATAGATCTATATATGTCAAAGAAGGGAGAAATAACCTCTACTTCCCTCCACATTCCCTACATACACATACACTTCATCTTATAATCTTGGTGCCTTAATGTTAAATCTCAATTTTTGGCATGCTTTCATTTAATGAAAAAATGGATTAAAATTACTTTCTGAAAAACTAATAATAGTATATATAAAAAGTTTATAAGAATTTATTTCTGTGAACTTTTCTTAAATAAAGTTATAGTGACATTAAAATATATTTTATGTCCAGGATCTGGTTTGAACAAAATATATACATTAAATCCAAAAGACTTTCAATATGGCATTTAAATGAAAGTACACCATAAGATTGAAAAGTTTTTAAATAATTTTAGTAATTTAAAAATTGTCAATATTAAGTATTATTAAATATTTCTATGCAGATTCACATAATAAAGGGTTAAATATGAGGAAAACCTGCATATGCAACAAAAAATCACATGCATTTACCTCAAAATATCAGCTAAATTCTGATTTTAAAAACTTGACTGTGACATAAAACTTCTGTAAGACACTAGCATTTAAATAATGAAAACTTTTGTGCTCTAGTGGAATTAATTCATCATGGATACTAGGCACATTGCTTTTGAAATTTCGTACTGCTTTGCTAAAAGTCTTTAATGCTAAGATTGCCTAATAAATCAAAATGCCAAATATAAAGGACATAGTTGAATGTGTAAGAACAAAAATGGAACAAGAACATGAAT